TAATGTGAGTAGCAAACGGATTCACAACAACCCTCTTGAATAGCGAAAGCATATTTTTTGCTAAATGGTATACTACGGGTTGGTAGGGATGATGATGGTACAAATCGGGGATGGGGGTTTGCTTCCAGACAGACTCTTGCTACTATTGGGTACCAAATTCAAGAGAGAGGGTAAGTCTACACAGCACACAATCACAAGTTGGGACTTATAAGTTAGTGTTGTTTCATTTCGGTCTCAGTTATAGTTCGCCTAAGATATCTTTGAGTCTTCTCATGTATTTTGATATAAATTTGCTGAGATTTCTGCTTCCGAGAGCCAATTCGGATTATTTAAGCTCTCAGTTTGGATTGTCAAATTTCTGCTTGTGATAATTTGATATTAAAAATCAATGCGAATCTACGTTGCGAAGCGAGGATTTATCCAGCATTTATCGGATCTATATCAAAATTTTTTGCACCGTCAAAAAATTATAATTTTAGTTTTATCGAGACTATCTTGTCCTGTTACGAAAGTTAAATTAATAAAAAAACGTAATGTTCAAGTAAAGAAAAAAAGTTGATAACACTATGTAGTGTTATTTAGTATTGTAGCTTTAATAACATTATAAAAAGTAGAAATACCGTTTATTAAAAGTGTATGATGCAAAAAATATAAGTGTCACATCTTTACTTGGAGACGAGCTGAGGAATAAATGGCATTCCTTTGAAGCATCTGGAGGACAACGAATTTGACACATATAACAAAACAAGGTACAATTATAATATTATTTGATTTTGATTAAATTTTTTACAGAAATCTAAATTTCTTACAGAAAAAATTTTTTGTAGACGTTCTCACAAATTAAATTCTTTATAGATTAAATTTTTTATAGACATTTTTAAGAAGAGAAAATATAAAGTTTAAAATTACTTTACAATTAATCAGAGATCAATTACCTTTGTGTTTAATTAAGGTTTAAGAGAAAATTTCATCGCGATATAAGAATCTCTTTTTTCTCTCACTTCTTTTTCTTTCCTTATTTTTTATCGTTTTATTTACATAAATATGTACAATAATGTGCACAATGTTTTTATAACGTAACATATTTTTTATGCAAACAGTATATAAAATTTTCTCATTATTTAGAAGAAATATATCACTATAAATATTGATCTATTATTTATATTATCTATGGATTGATATTAAAAAAATACAATATCGCTTTTACTTTTTTATATTTTTCACTAATCAATTCACTATGCTATTGTAAATATTAAACCATAACTTTTTTAAAATTTTTTTAACAACTTTTATAAAGAGCTGTTATCTTTTTTATTTTTATGTAAATTATTTAATTGTACTGAAGTGTTTGATACAATAATATCACAATTTAACAATTTTTCAATCACATTACATTTTAATATTTGACTTATCAGCGATTTTTCTTCACCGAGCTCTGTCACGTTGACTCTATTCTATCCTATAATATTTTCCGAATTGAAATTTCGAGTGTTATACATCGTTGCTTTGCCGTTTTCTATTTATTATTATGATCTTGACGTACGTCTCGCTCGGAATTTCGAAATACCTTCAACATCGTTTTGACCTTTAGAGAATAATGCTATTTGTTCGGAATTTCAAAGCAAGAAAACGTTTATTATTAAATGTATTGAGAAAAGTATTCACTTGCGTATTGGCCTTTAATTATTGGTCTTAAATTCGAAGTAGTCGCACTTACTCTCCAAGAAAGAGTATTCCTTCTTTTTATTTTCTATATAATAAAAAAATATATTCCTTAACAAATATTTATTAAATAAATAAAATATTTTTTATTATAAAATTAGAACATTTTTGAATGATTTCATCAGAATGATTATTGTAAGAATTGTGAAAATTTTTGTTATATAATTTTTATTTACACTTAAGCAATAATTATGGTAAATATTTATTAAAAAACAATACTCTGCAAAAAAAATTAATTTTATTACTATTTTGCATGTGCTCACATTCCTAACTACGACCTTATAGTGCAGGGGTTGGAATTCTAATAAAAAAATCTCCATAAAATATAATTATTCTTATTCCTTTTACATTAAAACAAAATAGTTACTTTTGTGTTCAATTGTATTGTCGTTGTCCACATAAAATTGCTGTTTTTGTATACTTTCTCTAAGAAAAAGTAATTTCAATTTTTTTTCACGCATAGAAAGGTGAAATATTACAAAGAGATGTCAAGTTTTATTTATGGATACCGTTATAAGTACGTGTCGAACATGGTGTAAATAAAAAATATCAGTGGGGCGTCTTTTTAAAGCGAGAACACCACTCTATATTTTCTGCTCCAGATAAATAATACGACCCAAAAGTGTAAATCGGTTTTCATCAGAAAGGAACACATAAATCGTTTTTTGCTTGATTTATAGAGGAATACGAAATTTTCGCAAAAGAGAAAGCGAAAATAATTTAAAATTGATTACATATATTATTTTTGATAAATATTGCGAAGAAATATTACTACGTCGACCCGCTATCAGAGGCATATCGATATTTAATTCGCAAATTCTCGCAAGTGCTTTGATATGCGTATATCTCTTCATATAGAATCTCGATTGAATAACTCTTGCAGGCGTATAAGGTAGGCTTCCACTACGATGCCTTACTGATGAGTCCAGTAGTGGAAGCTGGAACGAAACGCCATAATTACGTGATTTTCTTCGCAATATATTTAAATTAATTTAAAAAGATTTTTAACTTAATTTATAGCTCATTGCCCTGTTTCTCTATATTAGATGTTAAAATTAATATTAATGAGAATATGATATATATAATAAAAGAACATTGTTCTAAAATTCCTTGCTATTCTCTACGTATAACTGTACATTTAAAATATTGACAATAATTTATATTTTAATTTACAAATTTTATTAAAATTTACATTTTCACAATTGGAGAAAGATGAATTAAATCAATTAATATAATGTGTAAATTTTGAATAAATCAAGCGAAAATAAAGTTATTTTTAAATTAAAAAAATTTTGATTTATAATATTTTCGATATTTTTATTTCAAATATCAATATTATATTAATTCTTTATGAAGAATTATTTTTAAATAAAATCATGTTTAATTTTTTGTTGTTGGAAGCTTTAAATTTAAATCATATTTATTTACTGCACACTGCAATATTATTTAAAAAAAGTTTTGGACATGTGTTCTTGTAAGTTGTAAAAATTTATAAAAATCTGTTAAGAATAATATCTGAGCAGTAAAATTTTTACCAGATAGATGTTATTCCTTTACTCTCTTTAGAATGTGATTATACGCAATTATATAGCTAAAATGAATGTTCTAATAATAATAGTCGGACACGTTCCATAATATCCGACCTTATTAAAAAATATTTTTTAATGAAATCGGATATTATGGATTTTTATTCATTTTAACAGTTTTAAAAATTAACACAATAGTTATTGAAAGAAAACTTCTATATTTGATAATTAATTGATAAAGAAAAGTAGACCAAATAAAATATTTTTGTATTAAAAAATATTTATTAAAGAAGCTTATATGATTTAACAAAATAGTGGCTAATCGTTATCAAAGTCATTTTTAACCCTTCATGTCACACTTCTAAAAAGTCACACGATGGAGAAAAATAACTCGAACCACTTTTGAAGTCACCAAATCAATTAAGAAAGTAGTGAATAATGATTCTAAAAATTTTGTTGTAAATGCAATTAGTATTACGTTGTTAAATAATCATTATATTATAACATGACATGTGAGAACATTGCGCGATAGCGGCGAAGTCAGCGATGTACCGGCGCGAGGCGGAGCGCTCACGCACACTACTAGACGCGCGGCTCACCGACGTGCGTCCGTTTAAAACACGGCGTTGGTTGGATTATCTTTACTCGATAATAACTGCTTCGGTAAGCATGGTGGAAAAAAATTTCCTAATAGTAATCAACTTAATTTTTTATCAGGCATAACGCTATATAAATACTGGGCGGTATTTTGGCGGTATTTTTGGGTGTATAAATATATATATATAATAATCATTATTATTATTATTATTATAGACTATCTAATGGTCTATTCTATAACCCTGTAGTTCTGTAGTGTCTATGATAATACAGTTATAATTCAGAATAAGCGTAAAAAATTATTCGGCTACGGTCATTATAATTCATTATACGTTTTATTTATGTACTGCGAACAATCTTCAGAATTTGAAAATTGTGCTTTTTTAGCATGATTATGTAATGTGAATCGATTTATACATGCATAGCTTACCTAACAAAAATGTGAATAGTACAATTTTTGCTGGAAAATAATAGAAAAACGGAAAATTCTGGTGAAGATCGAAACAACAGATTCGATAGATTTATTTTGGAGATTTTTAGCGTAATAATATTAACTTATTATTAGTGGAAAGTATGCTTCTCGGATGTGCTAGGCAGTTGACAATAATGGTCTAGTTGGACTTATTAATAAAAGAACATCGTAATACTAATTTAATACTAATTTAATGGAATACATTTTTTTATTATGATAAATAATTTTAGAATTATGGTTTTGCAGAGATCATGCTTTAATTATATATGTACTGTACGTTATTATTACCAAATTATTATTTATTACTATTTGTGGTGCTGATCAATAAATTATATAAAGCTCAAGCTTTATGTCTCTCTAGAATGAGACGAACAGATATCCGAATGAGTCTTACATTTAGATTTAAAGAGATTTTGTAAGCATTTATAAGATAGGGGTGCAACCCCTATCTCGCGACATAAATAATAAGTTTTTAGACTTTTTCACTTGTAACATTTATTGATTTTATTAATCATTTTGTCAAACAATAAGTAAAAAAGTTAAAATTTTAGTTGATATTTTCCGTTGCAATTTCGTACGTTTCGTTTATTTATATTTTATTCGTTGTAATCTTCATTGCATGTAATCTTAATTTTCATCTCTCTAATCATATTTTTGTTCTATTTTTATGTTTCCAAGATAAAATGAAAAAATGTCAAAAACATGTAGAATCCCAGCGACAGACGCTGGATCAACAACAGCATCAACAGCAGACCATTGCCGAGGAGCAACGGTGTCCTCCCTTCCTTCCGTTAACCACGCCCGCTTGGGGTGATATAAACGTGGTGAGTAATCGTGCAACCCCTCTACTTCATCTCCCTATTTCTTTCTTCTTTTCTGCAATACGCGTCATGTACTTTATTCATTCTCTGGACCCGTTCCCTTTTATATTCAACAAAATGTCGGTGATGGAAGTCGTATATCGGATCAATCGAGTCTTCGAAGTTCAAACGTGAAATATTTTTTTTGCTTGCACCTGTTTCGTTTCTTATTTTTATCTCGCTGAGTATATATCGTTAATCAAATAGAATAATAGATACAAGGACCTAAATATTAAAAGTTGATTTGCGAATTACATTTAAGATATAGGTAAGATCACATTTTTATTTATTGTCTCTTAATACTTTAGAAGATATTTCAAAATATATAGTTCTTTATCTTATAGTTAATTAAATCATCTAGCCCTAAATTTTCAATATATTCATTTTTATACATTCCGTATAAGAAATTTTTTAAGAATTGTTTTTATATTTTTTGTAGAGCAAACAGGCGGCGGGAGAAACTAATAACAATTTCAATTTCTTGTTCGCCCATTCGATTCCAAGCACATCCGATGCAAGAACGTGTAATTTATTGTCCTCGAGGAATAATAGTTTATCATCTACATCCAATTTAATTAAGAGTACTATGAATAATAATCAGTCAACTAATGAGCAACAGTTACCTAGAAAGTGTAAATTATGTTCCTACACTGCATCATCCAGGTATTTAACATTAATTTTTTAATAATTTTGTGTGTATGTGTGTTATGTAGAACTATATGTAGAACTCAACACGCATTAGAAGTCAAGGTTAGTCGGTTGAAAAAAGAGAAAATTGTAAGGAGTAAATAAATAATATTATAAATCTATTTTATGAAATTGAAAAATATCTATATATATTGAATGATGATATCAATGGACTCGTAAGATTTAAAATCATAGAAAGTGAAAATGCCTAATCGAGTCTTGGAACAGGATGTTAGTGTTTTTATTATCATTGTGTGAATATTATATATCGTGTATGTAGTCTCCTAATCGCGTGCCGAAATTTTTCTTCAGACTTACAACGCAACTCTAAACAACTACCACGATAATATCACTTTTTGTTAAATTGACACACAATCTAACAAATTTCGATGCCATAGCATCTTATTAGATATTAATAATATGTTGAAAGACATATATTAAAATTTAATGTTAAAGTAATGATAATTTAAAATCTGCGAAAAATAAGTTTACGAAGAATATCACAAGTTGGCGTTTCGTCCCGGTTTCCATTACTGGGCTCAAGTGATATTATCGTGGTAGTTGTTTAGAGTTGCGTTGTAAGTCTGAAGAAAAATTTCGGCACGCGATTAGGAGACTACATACACGATATATAATATTCACACAATGATAATAAAAACACTAACATCCTATTCCAAGACTCGATTAGGCATTTTCACTTTCTATGAATGAAAAATATCTGTTGTTTTGATTAACATTAAATATAATAATTGCTCTAATTGCATAGTACAATTGTATTTTTGTTAACAATTTTAATAAAATAGACTATTATTATTTAAATTTTATATTTTCAGAGCAGAATATATTGAGCATGTGATTGCTCATTCCACGTTCGTAAAAAGTTTATACGTGGAAAATGACAGTTTAAACGAATATGCTGATGATGAGGAGTACGACGATTCTGGTAATGAATTACACAGCAAAGGGAAGAAGAGAAATAAAACTTCCAAGCCAAAACCATGCAGCAAATGTGACTTTACGGCAAAGACGAAATTGGCACTTTGGTTGCATTTACGTCAGCATTTCACACAGGAAGAATGTTCTGGCTTTGTTTGCACCTCATGTCCATTCGCTACTACGCTCAAACATCATATGACATTCCATTGGTTCAGTGCTCATGATGATTTCAAAGCATTTATGTGCACGGAATGTTCGTATGCATGCGTGAGCAAATCGATGTTAACTAGTCATATGAAAACGCACTCGGAAGTCTATCAGTACAATTGCGGTAACTGCTCATACAAGACTAAATTCTGCAATGCAATGAAAAAACATTTAAAAGATAACGGGCATCAAGCGGGATTGGTATTAAATCCAGACGGTACACCGAATCCATTCGCCACTATCGATGTTTACGGTAATAAACGTGGACCTAGACGAAAGACATTTATAGAAGAAAAAAAGGAACTAACAGACACCATCGACGACATGCCGACAAATCTAATAATGACTCCTCCGACGATTTCATCCATTTCAACTTCGTCAGCTTCGGTTTTAACAACTCCGATTTCATCATCTACGATCTTAGACTTACCGGAATCAAATATGGCATTGATGTCACCAGTCCGAATGCCAAGTCCAAGATCGCCGATTCAGACAGTACAAAGATCGCCAGTTCGGATACCGACTCCAATCACACCTCATCCTATCATAGCTAATATGTTGAACGACTTCTTTAATAAATTAAAAAATCAAAACGGATTTAACAGACAATTGTTGCTTGAAAATAGTCCGTTTAACTTTTTATGTCACCTTTTGTTTCAAGATCTCGCAACACGTTCAATTGTAGATGACAAAGAACAGGGACAGATTTTCCGTTTACTACAAAATGTTTATAAGTATTTAACCAATGACACAGAACACGTAGCCAGTATAAGTGATACCAAAGATGAGCTTCCTGTTAACGCAAGGATTGATGAACCCTCAACATCGACGATGCCGATTTCGGAATCTCAATCGGCAATGGAGGTAGATGTGAATCTAGATCAGCCATTGGATCTTAGTATGTCAGCAATGGTAAAAAGGGAAGAAATTTCACATCAGCCACAGTCGACCAGTTTCTCAAAACGTAAGCGTAAAGCGGTGAAGCTAGAATATTCTACAATAAACGAGAAAAAATTTCACATAGATGACAACGCCGTACAAACTCGGAACACAAATCAAATCTGTACGGAATCTTCTCTTTCAGCACTTCTAACGGCAAGTCAATCTGATCTCCAGGAGAACAATATGACACATAACATAAACATATATAGAACATCATTTATTTGTTACCACTGTTGTATTATTTTTGCGAATGAGATCATGTACGCAGTGCATATGAGTTTTCACCAAACTAAGAATCCTTTCACGTGTGCAGTATGTAATCGAGAATGCACAGATCAAATTACATTCTTTTTACATCTCATTCGAACAAAGCATGAATAAATAGTAAAAAAGATTGCATGTCATATAAATCCCATAAGAAGAGAAGTAAACCGTAATCTAGTCAAAATGTAAATTAGAATTAGAGACATATAAAAATCATGTCGGTAAATTAGTTCCTATTTAAAACATTTTGTAAATGTAATATCGTCCTCTAATTTTGGCGTCATTAGCTGGCAACAGTGACGGACAGGTATTGAAACCAATATAATTACTGAAAATTTAATTAATTGCTATTTTGTGATAATGAATATAACGATTTTTATTTAAAGAAGATTTATAGAATATTTACAGCAATTATGAGTATTGGTTTCAAGCCTGGCAATGACAATAGAAGAAGATGTAAAGGGACTGGTTTCCCTTTTTTTTTCAATAATATTTTTCTAATAAAATATAGAAATTTCGTACGAAAATTTGTATATTAATACAATTTTTTAAATAATAAAAATTGGTGTGCTCACACATGTAAAATTAATTTTTTTATTAGTTTTTACTAAAATTTAATTTCAATAATTATAGAGCTCTATCAACTTTCTTTAAAATTATGTAACTTATCTAATACTCATATCAGACTACAGATTAAGAATTGAAATTGAGGCTGAATTTGACCAATCAAAGCAAAGTTTACTAAATTTAATATTAGTTTTCTTTCTTCTAATTTGTTAATTTCAATCTCAGTCTCATTACCAATATTTAGTCCAATACGGGTGTAATGTTACAGATTACAAACTTTTTGAACGAAATTTCTTCTCGTATTTTACGCAACATGCGTAATTGTATACGTTCAAGTAATAAAAAAAGTATAGTCACAAAACTATAGAGTATTATTAGACAGAATTGAGTTCATTTCTCCTAGTCTCATATATATATATATACTACATTACTTTTTTTATTATTCTCTCCGTCTTACTATACTATTATTATCTAATTATTAATTTCTTTTTCTTTCTTCGCGATAATATCGGTATTAAAATAAGAGCAAATATATAAATTATTTTAAAATATTTAAACTTTTTTCTAGAAAAACAGAAGAAGTTTTTTTGGACTTCCAGTATTATATTTTTACATTTCTTTTGATAATTCTACAATTCAGGATAAGATACTTATACATGTATCTATTTGGAACAATTTGTTTAAGCAATTACTTTTACTCTTTTCTATTGAATATATCGATATTATGCGAATTTCTCTGCATGTAAAGATCTCATCAGCGAAATGAATTAGTTTAAGTATAGTATATTATTCAGTATTTTATTCAAGTACGTAGCTATTCTCTCTTATATTTTTCTTATATATATATATGTATCAACTATTTTAAATATTATTTTTGTCTTTCAGATTGTTCTAATTTGGCATAAAAATATTATTACAATAATTATATACTATTATCAACAGATTATATAACGCTTCTTTATAAAATTTATTGCACAAAGCAATAAAGATTTAAAGAATTAAGTGTAATAAATAAATATATGTAAATATACTATATCTAAGTGTACAGATCATAACCATGCATAGATCAAACCAATGCATATAAATCTTGTGATAAATTTTCAAGTATTGTACTTATTGACAATTCTTTGATAGTTAATGGACAGTAATGTGCAATTTTTAATTTATATAGATCGAATAAACTCAAGTAGTGAGCAGATCCTATCTTTATCAAAATTATGATGCGTTTAGTATATTGCGTCGTATTTTATTTAAAAATCACGCGATACATCAGGATACACACGATCAAGAACGTGGATAAATATTCTGTTTGTTAAGAAACGCTCAAAAACTTTTAATAAAGACGGCGTATATGAAACATATCATATATATAACTACTTTAAACGTGCCGGTGAATCTAATCTTCCTCATGGATAATTGGTCTATAATCAGAGAGATTAGGTTAAATCAAACGATAATTTAAAATAGTTGTTTAATAACGTCACGTAATATAATATTATTGATATGTAATATAATATTATTGAATGCAAATTCCATATTTCGATTTGTAATCGTATGCAAAAATAGATATACAATGATAGGAAGAGCTCATGACATGCAACGCATTAATTCTTTTTTTATTTTACGGGCATATAATAATAGACAGCTACATATGCTAGCAAATATGTAAAAAAGAATTAGAATAATATTTTGTTGGAAAACTTTTACAAAATATTCAAGTTTATTTAATTATATAAACTGCTGCTTTCGCATGTCACAAGCTAGCTTTATGAGTGAACAAATAATAGAATCGAATTTTCAAAATCTCAAAAATTTATCAAATTAGGGTTATGATAAATATAAATTAAACTTTTTTACGTGAAGTTTTACAAATAAATTAGATTGAGTATTCGAGCGTTATAACAAATATTTTTTGAGTTTCTACAGTATTTTATTAGCTAAAATTCACATTGTCCATTTATTTACTCAAGGTATGCTATTTTAATACAAATCCTTTATGAATTATTTCTAATATCAAATTAAATTCTTTTGCTTAACACAGTGAATTATTATATAAGTATATCTACGACATTAATAATAACCGATTATATCGCTTGTATAATATTAATTAATGTCGCATTGATATAAAAAACATTTAAAAGTGTTTAAGCAGTTATATGTATATGAAGTTGTAGTTCTCACAATAAAGAACTATCCCAATGACATAAGTAATTATTATTTAAATTAATTAAATATCAAGGTAATTGACGTTTAAACAAATTATAGTCGTAAAAGAGAAAATTTTGATGCATTTTTATTCCTTTATACATATACGTTTACACCGGAGTATTAATAATATCAAAAATAATACCGCGCGTTTTAAAATTAAAAATTTTCATCCTTTTTAACGGTCAGTGGACCAAATTTAAAAAGCGAATCGTTATTACAACAAAATTTAAATTTACTTAATAAATCATTTATTTGTTATTGCGTTTTATTTAAATATGAAATATACTATATATACTTTATCAATTCCAAAATTCAAATCCGTAAGTTCAAAAAATTCTATTTTATACAATCAAAAATTTGCAGATGTAATTATATTTTTTTAATACTTTCATACTAATAAAACATTAGTTGTTAAAAATAATAAATAATAATTAATTGTTAAAATTTATATGCAGGATTTAGAAATTTGATATCAAAATTATATATTATAATCTTTGATGTGCATATATATGTATATACATATATGTATAAAGGATAATATTATGTTATAATATGGTACATTTATGCAATTTAATACTGCTTATAGTTACGAGATTCTTTATGATTTCAGTATGTTTTATATACGCAAAAATTATTATTTACAAATTACATTTTTGTTATTTAAGATTTTTTTTTATTATATTCATATACACATATATTTTGAGTTTTTTTTAAGTTTTTAATAAATAGAGAAATTTAATACGTATTATAAAACTTTTTATATTATAAATGCTTTTCTAAAATTTGAGTTAATATCTTTAACCTTTATATATTATTTATAAAATTTAACCTTAAATAAATATAATAATGCATGTGTTATTTGTTCCGATTTGTGTGACTTTGATAATTTTAATTTTGTATATTATTAATGCCATAAAAATCTTGTATATATTTTATGAATTTTGCTCTAATCCTACTTTAAAGTATCTTAAAAGACATAGAAATTGTGTGTATACATATTTTTGGCATTCAAATATACATATATATAAAGCAAAAAGAAATTATTTCAATTTTTTTTGCTTTAATAAGAACAAAGTTATTTTGTCTACGTGATATCAATAATACAAAAATATTAGTTGTTCTGTAAATCTAGTAAAATATTACTATGAACACAATATTTTAAAAACATTTTTAAGTATTTATTTAATATTTTTACATTAAATAAATATTTTTTAGATAATTTTTAAATATTATGTGCTAATTAGAATAATGTATTCTATATACATCAAATATTATAATAATATACTATTTAATTTAAAGACATAAAAATAGAAATAATTACATAGAAATCAAATGTTATTATAAATACATAATTATAAAATAATTGGAATAATGTATTTACTGTAACATTGAGAATGACCAGAGCGGTGTCGAAACGTTTGTTATTTATGTAATTATTTTTATTTTTATGACTTTAAATTAAACGTTTTTTATTACATAACTGCTTCTCAGCCTTTCAATTTTTCTATTTTATTTTATTTTTATATAACCTTAATATTATTACTTTTTATAATAATTTTTACTGACTAAAATTAATTTTACATAATGTAATAGAATACATTTCTATTAATTATTCGAGATAAAATACTAAAAATAATTTTGTTCTTCAAACAAAAATAAATATAAGATTTAAGTATACTACTTGTGTAATAAATTTTTAAACGCTTCCTGTTTAGACTCGAAGTGCTGTGAGACTTCTTTAACAACCTTTGGCGAGTTCCATGCGCAACATCGAATTATGTTCTCGACAGAAATGCTGAAAAAACCGTAAGAAATACCATAACCGGGTATCATAAAAGTTTCTTGAAAAAGCATCATCCATATTTAAATCTATAATATTTTATCGACAATAACACAATATATAAAATGTATTCAAAATTTCACAACTTAAAACGTTTTTATATTTACATTAAACGCATCTTTATATCAATATTTAGGTTATTACGGTTTTAATAAACATTAGTGCATATTGCAAAATTTATAATATTTATATATATATTAATATATATAACAAATCCAAGTGTAATCTTCTTACGAACTCTCTTATTTTCCAAAATCAAAAAAATATGGATCAGTGGATCAGGCTATTAAGAGTCAAACGTGGTTCTTATTACGTAATTATCTATTTATTCATAAAAATCTTGAACGTTTCGACTCACTTTGGAGTCATCTTCAGCATACATAATCTCTATATATCCTTGAAAGTTGGAGATAAAGTCACCATTAAATTAGCCGATTTGATGTTCAATCTAATAAAATATTAATATAGTTAAACTAAATTTAACTAAAAATTAAAAGTAGTGACTCACCTCAAACTTCAAAGAAACGTCATTTAACAAAACCAATTTGATGGTGACTTTATCTCCAACTTTCAAGGATATATAGAGATTATGTATGTTGAAGATGACTCCAAAGTGAGTCGAAACGTTCAAGATTTTTATGAATAAATAGACAATTACGTAATAAAAACCACGTTTGACTCTCAATAGCCTGACCCACTGATCCATATTTTTTTGGTTTTAATATATATATATATATGTATATATTGTGTGGGATAATAACTTTATCCACCTTGAATATCTCCGCTATTTTTAGAAATATGAAATTGTAATTAAATATTTATATAGAATTTTATTTATTTTTTTAATTATAGAAATTATAGTAATTACAAGATTTATAATATAGATGCAGGGTGTCTCGAGAGTTTCTTCCAATCGCTTTTGTGTAGATAGAGCGGACTAAATTGAATCGAAAAGTCCACTTTGCAAATTTCGCAATGATTAATGAGATATTAATTTTTAAAAATAGCCGAATATTTGTCTTTAATAATTTTTTTCTCAAATGCTATCAACTTTATAAAAAAACTGCAAGGAATAAAAATTGTGTATCTTCTTCTCATAAAACTCTAAAAATTATTTCAGAATTTTTTGTTAACTTTTTAGTACTGCATTTTTTATTTGCAACTATTTTTATTAACATAAGAAATACAGCATTCAAAAATTTTGAAAAAATGTTCAGAACTTTATGAGAAGAAAATAAACAATTTTCATCTCTCGCTATTGATAATAAAGTTGATTTGAGAAAAAAATTATTAAAGACTATAATATTCGGCTATCTTTAAAAATTAATATCTCGTTAACCATCGCAAAATTTGCAAAATGATAAAGGACTTTTCGATTTAGTTTAGTCCGCTCTCTGTTTTGAGAGAGAAATTTTTGCATTCGGTCGACTAATCGTTTGACGAGCAATTTCCTGATTATAACGTCGCTGATTAAATATTCATCTAGTCTTAAAAATCAACACTGTTTAATACATAACTTTAAAGTTAAGATTTACTGAGTTATAAATTTATAATATTTTTACACTTCAAAGGAGCTTAAATATGAAGCCAAAACATATAGTAGGTCAATGAGAATGTCATTATTTGAATGTATTTATTGTATATTTAATTTAAAATAGACATAATTTTTAATATTTTATAGAAATTATATAAAAATTAGTTTTATTATTATTAATTAGTTTTATTATTATTTTAATTAAGGTGTAATTTTTTGTAATAATTCGTATTCAGCGCGCGAAAATACATCGGAAATGGTATCTTTTATTCAAACAACATTATCAAAGTAAGGTGATAACTTCGAAAATATATCATGTACCTGTATCATAATGAATAGTAATGTATTTTTAATTTATTTTTTTTATTATAGGCATTATTATAGAAAAATTATTAATTTAATAATGATATACAGGATGCGCGTTCCGTTTCTCGCATGATGCACTTAATACATCGTTTATCCCTGTTGCTCACCAAATGTTAAACAAGAACAATGGATGCACCATGCGTATCATGCGCATGATGGAACACACCTATAGTGAAATGTATAGAGAAAATATTATTTTCTCTATATATTTCAAAAATTATAATACTTTATAATTAAGTTATTGCATTAATTTCATACTTAATATAATAAATTAATGTAACAATTTTTTTCAAAAAATATATAAAAGACACACAAAAAATTATATTTTACATGTCTATCTCTTTTTCGAATTATATCTTCTCTGCTTATTAGATTTATTGAATATTCTTAAAGTTAACCTAGTATATTCTAAATTAACGAATCCTTTCTTTCATCCTTTAATCAATTTACAGATAATTTTTTCATAGTATTTTAATTTTTTTTAATAATGTCAACAAACATTTAAATTTATTTAAAATTTTCTTCAATATAAATTATTTCACAAATAAATTGGATTAAATGCTATTTAAATATGAACAAATATACTTTGATCTTTTACAACAAAAATTCGCATTATCCGATTATCAATATACGCGGTATATACGCAGTATTAGAATTATTTAACATATGTAGTTTACATAATTAAACCGAGTAAAAATCAACGATTTAATTTTGCGTAAATTATGAATTCTATAAAAAAGATACCTTACAAATCGACCTTACAAAGAGACTTTACAAAGGTAAGAGAGATACGTCAAATACATAAAGCGTATTAACTATCCAAAAATAAGCATAAGATGTATAACCCGTGTAAAGCTAGCCCCCCAATATTAAAAAATCGATTTTTTTTCTGCATGCAATCGTTTGCTCATCGTTTGCTCACGAATACTCAGTTGGAATTTTCGTTTGCTCACCCTTAGTTCAAAAGATATACGAAAATTATGTTTTGGGGGGCCAACTTCACACTAGCCCCCCAATATTAAAAAATCGATTTTTTTCTTCATGCATTCGTTTGCTCATCGTTTGCTCACAAATCTTTGAACTAAGGGTGAACAAACGAAAATTCCAACTGAGCATTCGTGAGCAAAAGATGAGCAAACGAATGTATGAAGAAAAAAATCGATTTTTTAATATTGAGGGGCCGCAGCTTCACACGGATAGATCTATACATTGCCAAGTATAATATATTATTGTATATGCATATAAAAACTTCGAAATCCCTATAAAACTTATTCAAAAATTTTTTCCAAAAAATGGCATATCTTTTTTTTACCTTTGTAAGGTCTTTTTTTATATGATTTCACTTCTTTTTGTAAATATTAGAGAATATTGGTCTCTTTCATTAAGCTCTTATTATATGTATACTACTTTTATATTAATGCGTGTGTGTGCATTCGTGCGTATGTATGTGTATCCATTTGTATAAAATACGTTTCGTCGTCGTGTATATGAAATAAAATTTATTTTATTTATTTTTATTTTTAGTGTATTATATTAAATTTTGTTATATTTATTTAATGTGTAATATTTATACCTATATATTTATATTATAATATTTAAACCAAATGAGGATAATGCCGCAGCGGTCTAAGCTAGATCACGGGTACTTCTATATAATTGCGTAAAGCGTGATTTACGGGGCGACTTTTATTCGCTAGAAGCACCGTCTTAGCAATTCACTACTAAAACTTCTAGACGCGGGTTTGCTCTTGTTAGCATATAGTTGCAGCGAATACCGCTTTCGACGCTTGTCGCTAGCTTCTTGCTGCTCTTCCAGAGCGAATTTTTAAGTCGTGAAAAGACAAATTTTTCCACTTGATGCGATTCTGTAATTTCGAAATTTTAGTCACTAGCGAATAAAAATCAAACGTATAGAAGAAGCTTTCATCAGCGAATTTGCTGACGAATCAAGAAGTTTACTGCAGAGTCGAGAAAATTCGCTGACGAATTAATGACTTTACTAGACGTGGTTTCTGGCGAATAAAAGTTGCCAAGTGTAAATCACGCTTAATATCGAGATTTCAGGATTGAATGTACCGATTTTAATTGGACTAATCGCAATCGAAAGTCAGTGCATTGAACATATAATAAAAATGTCATTAGATTTTTTTGTTACAGTTTTATAGTTTTTGAAAATAAAAATAAATTTTGACAGAAGAATTCTGGATAAGCTTATGTTTAACGCAGTGACATTCACGTCAAATATAGCCACATTATGTACTTGGCGTCGCGCCGCTATCGCGTTGCTTGATAAAAACAAATGGGATTATATTCTTAATTTATATTTGTGTTTATAAATATATGTGCATATTCGATATTTTCTAATAAAAATATAGAAAAATTTGAAATTTAATTTTATTTACATACACTATATCCTGAATTATCCTAAATAAAAGCTGAAATACGTTAGAACATAGGTATATTTATAGCAAGAAAAAAATTAATAAAATAAAATTATACAAATCGACAGCAAAATTGATTCTAACGAAGCAATGGCATATGATCTAAAAATTCTAAAAAACGAAGAAAATATTGCCACAGCTTGGACACCGGATTTATTTGGTCCTATTTTTAAGAAGAAAAGTTTGACAGTAAAACAGGTTAGATCTTATAGTTAAATCTTTTATATGATGAATTTTTTAAATGATGCTTTTATCTCTTTTTGTTAATATGAATTAATTCGTTTTTAATTCGTTAACTTTTCTCACATGACGTATTTCACTTAATTTAACTGTTTAGGCTTTGGACTTGCTTAATGTAAACGAACAGATTCATCGTATGGCGACTTTCGTTCCCGATGAGATAATTTATGAAGACTTGTCAGAGAAGAGTTTACGAAGCTTTCGGGCTGTTTTAATGTTTTTGAACATTTCAGGTTCGTACCACCGTTTTGCATATGCATAAGTTGTAAATTCATTTGTAAAGTAAACAAAAATATTTTTTTTTAATTAATATAGTAACATGTGATTAATATAATAGGTTTCTCGACGCTATATAAAAAATATATTCACAATAAAAACGGGGGATGTTTGGTTTTAACTAGAATATTAAATGATTACATCCACATCGTGGTTCGTGAAGTATACTGCAGCAAAGGGGACATACTAAAATTTTCTAGTAAGGAAAAATACCCCATTCAAAATAGAATGTATTAATAAACAAATAATTACTTTTTTATGTAAGGAATTATTATATATATATTATAAAATGTAGATTTACTTATATATTGATTCATGTTCATACACTTATATGTGCTCGACCGCATATATATATATATATATATATAGATCATTATTTTAATTTTATAAGAGATCTATTAAAGTAAACATTATGTTAAAAATATAGCTCAAGGGTTATTAGCAGCGTGGAAAGTACGTGATGGCGAATTTATGTTCGACGCTGTACAAAACGTAATAGCACGTGCAATGAGTATACAAGATTCTATAGCAGTTTTAAAAGACATCAACGGTATTTATAAAGGTATTTTTTGCCATATATAATAACGGGTTCAAAATATTCAAATTTACACGAAGTATAACTTTAAATCAAAGAATTAGATGAAAATTGTAATGATGCATAAATTTAAAATAAAAAATCAAGAGCACACGTTTCATTTTTATTTAACTTTGTTTGTATGAGGCTCTGATTTATAAACATGTCTTTTTTTTGTGAATCACGTATTTTAATTAATAGTAAATGTGGCTATCTCGGCCGGGGATGTAAAGTTCTCGGTGATTGGTAGCGATGAAGTTCGGCATTTCGTGATGTGTGGTGTGCCGATCGAAGAGATAAAAGATGCTAAAAAAGTTTCTCTGCCGAATGACTTGGTACTATCACTCAGCGCATGGCAGCATTGTCAGCCAAGTCAATACGAATACGTCATCAAAAATCCGTATAATATAAAGGTATAATGACATTCTAGTTCTAGTTTGAAAGTAATGGTTCTCTATTTTTCTCTCTGTTGTTTTATAAATTAAAAGATTTGAGTAAGAATAATCACTCTATATCTCATTTCTTTCTACTTGATATAAAAAAAATGCGTAAATAATTAACTATTTACATTTAAACGCAAATTAATTTAGATGTAAATTCAATCTATTATTATAATTTAAAGATTTATTTGCTAAAACGATAGTTATTTTTCTGTAAAAATTTTATTTATGGTTTAAAAAAAATATATTCTTATTTTTACAATACCGATTCATCATTGATTATTTGTTTTGAATTGGATTTTCTTATAAACTTTTTTTATAAACAACGATTTCTTATAATAAATTATTGATCTTAAAAAGATTTATTTATACTATATAATTTTATTCTTTTTAAATAAATATATTTTTAAAAAGATTTACTTATATTATTATTTATACTATAATTTTCGCCAGATACGTCTCCCTTATTGGCGATTCTCATTCCAAAATAGTTCCATTTTTTAAATTAATGCATGATTTTGTTAACTTATGAAGATGAACGTGTTCCAAATTTTAACAGATAATAAAAGCGTTAAAGCAATTAGACATAAAATCAACTTACATGACATCAACATTATCCAGTAATCACGTCAATACAAACCATGAACCATCCACGGATGAAAAATTTATAATAGATGCTGTCAGACCATCATCACCTTATAGGGCGCACTTGATAACTATTAACGGAGAATCTCAGACAGAAATTGCTAATAATAAAGAGAAAGCTTCGACAGGTACAATGAATAATATTTATTCTATATTTAACTTTATATATATATATATATATATAACGAACTATTCTATTGTATATCCCTTTTATATTTATTTGTGCTTTATTCTTTATCTATCCCTATTCTACTCATATTTGTCGTACTTTATTATCTATGATAAATTAATATATTCTATTATAATCAAATTGATATTAGTTTCCCATTTACATACAGCTATTAGAATACAGTATATAAATCATGCGTGTTTAATTAATTATTGTACATCTTTCTGTTTCTTTATTTCTAAAAATATCTTGTATAAATCTTAACCTGCAATTTGTTTAGAGTGAGTAAAAAGTGACCTTATTTTACATTAAACATTTCTAACAGCGATTATGGAGATGGCAGCGATAAATCCGAATTTCAGCGCGCATTTAAAAAGCTATTTGATAAAGCCGGTGATTCAACAGGTATCGTTTATCATAATAAACTATTTTAACTGACAACATAAAAGGATATGTGAGTATACCTTTTTTTATAATTATTTGTTAAGTATACTTTGCTTCTCGCAGATTGAAAAAGGTGAATCATTAAGATTTTTGGCGGAGATTAAACGAATTACAGTAATATCTATTAATATTATTCCCGATGAAAAAATTTTAGACAACGAATTAATTCTTTTGATCGACAAATGCTTTATACTTTTGCATAGGTACTGTTACAATACTATGATTAATAAATATTTTATATAAGAAAATTATTATTTTGAAGATTTAGAAGAAGATTATTATTTTATAAATATTATAATAACAATGTAGATTCTTTTAAAATTTTAATTTCAAAAGTATTTTGTTATTAATTTTACAAATAATTACTGTAACGTACTGTTATCTTTTCAGTAATTTCTTTTTGTTACATTTATAAACAAAATAAGAAAATTAATTATTTTAATATTTATTACAGTATAGTTACGCCATACGGGGGCTGTATTAATACAATGGATCTGTACGAGAAGCATATTCTTTTTTGTATCGTTTTTGGTATACGTGGGTATAATAACGAGAACCAATTTAAAATTGATGAGACTTGTAAAAATGGGATCAGTTGCGCGACGCACATATTGCAAACAGTTAAATCTCTTGAAGGGATTAAAGGCGCTTTTGTCGGCGTATCAACAGGTAATTATAGGTACTTTTGTATGAAGATATATATTAGTCGTTTCCATGCTCACATAAAATATTACTCCAATATATCTTTCGTGCGGGTCGGTGTGTAACTAATGTCTTACTATGAACTGTGCTATTCGCTTTAACTTTTATTTCTTAAAGAGTGTTTTTCTGAAAAAAATTGGGATTAAAATAGAAAAAAAATGTGTCTAGTAGTAGAAGCTGGAACGAAACGCCATAATTACGTGATATTCTTCGCAATATATTAAATTAATTTAAAAAGATTTTTAATGTAATTTATTGGCTCATTGATCTGTTTCTCTACATTAGTTGTTAAAATAGAAAAGCATCATAATAATTTTTTCAGTAATTTTAACATAACGTTCATATTATACCAAATTATGATTTCGTCGCAATAAATTTATGGTACAATTGTCCAGTATTGCGATACAAATGATTTGTATTAACAATTTAATTTCAGGAATAGCTTATTGTGGCGTAATCGGGCATATTGCTAGAAGATATTACACAATTATTGGACCGCCTGTTGATAAAGCTATAAAAATTATGGATATTTCCTATAATAAAGTAATTAACAGCTTGACTGATTGTAAGATACTTAAATTTTGTTTATAGTTTAGTTTGTTTGTTAAAAGTAATCACATTATTTTATTAAATTACGCATTGATAATAACGCTCGTTTGTAAAACAATTTCCTAAAAAAGATTTAATAATATAACTTTCTACCTATTCAATAATATTATCAAAAATGTGTAAATATATATATAATTATATTAATTGTTAAAACTCACTTAAGGAGGGATCCTATAGTCTAGAATCTTAAAGAAAATCGAAATTTTTTTTCATTTTTTGATAGTAAAACATTAAAAAAATATATTCCTCTCCTAAAGTATTATTTCAAAATTCGAAAAATTGATGAATACTTATATAAGCTATTTAGTAGATAGCCGTTCGACCGCGACTGTTTGACATGCTCAGATAAGGGATCTGCTCAACGCGCGGAGATCTGTTTTGTTCTAAGGACCTCAATAAAGGTCGCTTAAAGTACAAAAAAAAGTTCTATTGCTGATCAAAGCAAAAAAGAGTCAAAAGAATTTTTTATATATATTTTATGGATCAGGAATAACAAATTAACCAGAAATTAATTGTAAGTATAAAAAACTGTGTATAAATAATATCTAAAACTTTAAACGCGTTTTTCTCGAAATCGTATTTTTTACGGCCGTTGACATTGTAATACGAAAACTAATAAACAGATTGGCTTCAACTTTTGAGTAATTCGAAATAACTGTTATATATTCTGTGTAAATTAATATATAAAACTAATAAAATATTAATTAACTAATAAACTATTTTTTTTATAAACATATCAAAAAAGTAATGAAAAAATCGAACCTTTTTTTCAAACAAGTTTTATTTTAAAAAATTTTGTAATTTTTTACCTGGAACGAGATTTTCACAGAAGAGGCATTAATTACCTATGAAAATATACTTTATTTTTTTTATTTCAGATCGTTTGAATGGGCATTACAATGTCAACGGCGAATTATGGTTACACGATATTTATATCTCGGACAAATTTTAATAAATCATATGACAAAATTTGTAATTAACTAATAATTATGTAACGTCTTTAACTCTTGGCTGATCTGGGAATACAGACGCACTTTGGATCAGCTATCAACCAATAACGATATTGCCTTTGTATGAACACTCAGAGATCAGAGACAACGAGATTGCTAATGAGCTTGCAAGAATTGGCTCATCAGCCAGTTTAGTGGGACCAGAATTGGCTTAGAGTACCCAGCTATATTGGTAGGACCATGATGAGGAGCTGGCTGCGAGAACGCCACATCGACTTTCGGAAGGAAGAGACAATTAAGGACCAAATGCCAGCAAGCGAGGGCCTTGATGGGAGAGGTGCCTTGCCAAGAATATTAGGGCCTAAAGCAAAGCTAGAACTCTAACGAAATCGCCAGATGTCGCTATTTTACAACACATCGACATATCTTTTATGTACTATCATTAATATCTCACACAGGCAATGATATAAGCAGTCGCTGTCAATTTTCGTAATTTAAAAATATTTCGTAAATAAAAATATCGTAAATTTGTCATGATAAAGTGTATAAGTCTAATTCTAAGCACTCGACGCTGTTTCGCTACTATTTCTTAAGTACAGATTGCGCAACTTTTATATGAAACAAATGTTGTTACGACGTGCAACGACGTGACAGCTCTGGAGCGCCGTATTGGACTAAAAAATGGTAAAAAAGAACTCAATTTATCTCACAGGCACGTATTAATGTGTATAGTTTAATCCTGTAAAAGAATTTTTGAATCTGTAAATAACAAAAAAAGTATTTACGATACAAAAATTATATGGTTTAGTCAATAATACAGACGACTTTAGGATCAAGCACACGACAAGAAAGCGAATTAATATTTGTAACAGCGATATCACGGACATTATTACATCTGAAGAAGACTCAATACAGGAGTCGAAACATGTCATGTATGCATACAAAATTTTATTATCTCCAGAAGTTTTAATATACATGAAAATTTAAATTGTAAGTTTCGTTGACTCTCAGATTTGCCCTTGTTATCATCCTCTATTGTTTTAACATCGAGAAATTTGTTTATATTTTAATTTTAGGATCTTCTTAAGAAGAAGGGTACCTAGACTGGCAGTACAGATCTCCATGGGTCATAGTTTCACCAACTACCACATGCATAAGTTGGGGCACTGTGGTACTCCAAAATGCAGGAAGTGCAAGCATAACGAAGCATTCTTCACGTGCTGTGTGAATATCCAGCTTATGCTAAAAGTAGAGGGCTTATAGGCTTGGAATTTCTCGCGTCCGAGCAGGTATGTCAACTCCAGGTCAGAGACCTCCTCATTTTGTGGAAGAAGACAGGTCTAAATTGACCCAGAGTTAATTCAGCCGGGAAGACACAATGGACTTTCTCGAATCTGCGAGTCGTTAATGGGAAGGAGTTTCCTTCCCGAGGATATTATTTTTATTATTATTAATTATGTATAAAAGTGCCCCTAAAATTTAAAGTTTTTAGGAGTTATAAAAAAAATTCCTAAATTTGTTTTATTTTCTTAGCGCTCTAGACTGGAATCCCTCCTTAAATATCAGTTTTATACCAAGAATTTATCACACAAAATTCGTCAAAAATGTGTATCAAATAATATTATTATTTTTCATAAAATGACTTCAGCTTGGTGTTATCTCGATGATTGTGTTTTATCTAACAAAACTTGGTTTGCAGGTTTCTTGTGATTATGACACAGTGTTGCATAGTCATTTTAGAAAAGATCAATTTCGTTCTCGAGGTATAAAAACGTTGCAACGATTGGAGAAATATCACATTTTCGAATATCTTGGCGATGCACCGTGAGCATTTAAACTTATTCCTTCGTTTAAAAGGAGAAGTAATAATAGAAGAAATATAGAAATAAAATTTTATCAAATACCGAGCAACATTTATGCTTGCGGCTGTAACTAAAAACAACATGTGACGAAAGCAAATAAAGCTTTATCCAAACACTCGGTTTAATTTGTACTTCGCTATGATTTATTACATTTTATTTAACAACATAAAAATTATAAATCTGAACTGGGTGTCATAGTATAGCAATGCTTTTCTATTTTATTTATTACAAGTCTTAGGAAAAACGTTCAAATAATTCAAAATATAACACATTATACATTAAAATATCGTTTTTATCATTTCTATTTACTTTAATATCAAAATGTTTAATATCGATATGATTCTTATACATTTAAAAGATAAAAAATAAATGGAATTAATTTATTAAATTGTACATATTTAAAAAATACGATTTTATACAGGTAATAAAATATACGTAAATCATATTTTCCATAATATCTTTATAGGGCACAGAAAGACATAGCTTTGTCTCTAGACTATGGTTATCCTATTTTGGGTAGACTGCAAGAGATAGAATACTTCAACGATATTCTAGACGATATTGGAGTCACAAATCGGAAATATGCAGGATTATTGATAGAGGTTTGATTGAAAGTTCCGAAAATAAAGTAAGCGTTTGTAAAATAAAATTATCACAATAGTAAGATGTTATAACTGTGATAATTAATTTGTTTAATATTTATAATTATATAATAACGTTTTAATCAAAATTATTTACAAATATTATTATAATCTTTGTTATATAACTATAAAGATAAAAAATAAAAAATCAAGAATTTAATATGGTTATTTTCTCTAGAAGTTTTACACGCATTATAAAATTAATCTAATCCGTTATATGTTCAGGGAATCGAGAGATCAGGAAAATCTAGACTTTTAGACGCTTTCGTCACGAGCGTTTGTAACAGACAAATAAGACCAATCAAACTTTCTCTTCATGCGACATACGCGGAGAAGTCTTATTCTGTTATATATCATATAATTTTGCAGGTACAAAACATCATTTGTTTTATTTTACAGATATATGCATTTTGTTAAAATTTTTATAAAATGGCTAAAATAAAAGCAGAAAGAGAGAATTTTGTTTTATAAATTTTTAGATTTTTATAAAGCGTAAGAACAGAAAAATAATTTTAATATTTTTTGGAAAATTTCTATTTTTTTCACAACCTTTTTTTGAATATAAGTATGTATTATAGTTACGGTGTCCTTCATTGCGAAGTCCTTTATTTTAGATAATTGTCCTTTAGATTATTTTCTTCTTTCTTTATTTCTTTAAAATATAATTTTGTGCTGTATTTTTCAATATTACTCTTTACTGTCCTTTATTTTGACATTACGGAAAATTCTTTCACAAATAAAACAGCTAGGGTTGCTATTACCTAAAGTCGCCTATCACTACAATTTGTTTTTGTTAATTATATTTCTCAATTTTTTAAATTATTCAAACTGGAGGTGTTTTTATTTTTTTATTATTTTGAATCTTTTAGTATTTTAGATCATATAGGATTATTCCTATACAGTCGAACAGTTTTGAACTATCAAAAAACTGCGTATTATCTTAATTTAATTGTACTGTGTAATATAATTTTATAATACAGAGATTCTTAACAGTCACAAACTGGTTTGAAAACATAGGAGGATAAAGCCCTAAAATTTTCAGATTTGTCTTTTATTTTTTTTAAGAAAAAAAATATAATCATTGTAATTATAATGCTAATATACAGAGGATAAAGAAAATTAAATATTTTTAAATTCTTAATTTCAAAAGATGCAAACTTAATTTTATGAAAGATACCTAAATGTGTCAGTTTGCTTTAGCAAACTTAGTTTTTGCAACAGAGACAAACTGCTTCAGAGAACTGTAATTTCTTATAGATACTTGAAGCTGAAGATTGCGAGACCGTCGAGGAACGTGAAAAGGAATTACTTAATAAATTAGGTGACGTTCTTGCCTTGGAAGATTTATGCTATCTGAATATTTTGATGAGAGTTCGTTTTCCCCTTTCCGATTCTTATTACTCGGACACCGATTGGCAACGTCATACGAAGACTATCAATATCTTCAAAGCAATATTAAAACAGGCAATGTCATTATTTTATTTTGTAAATAAAAGATTTGATACTATTCTAAAATCGTTTTTATATAAATTAATGTGATCATTCACTGCAGTTGAAGATTAAAATTTGCATTTTGCTTGATGACATTCAACACCTTGATCCCGAATCCTGGCAATTTTTATCGTCAGCTCTTGATAACTGTAATGTCGTCTTAGCGATGACGGTGTTGAAGCATCACTCTTGGAATGACTTGTCCCATGTTGAAGCGGAGATCTACAAAGATAAAAGGCTAACGAATTATAATTTGCTCGGTCTGACTGTAGATCTGCTCCCAATATTTGCGTGTCAATTTTTGAATGTCCTTGCAATACCCCAAAAATTATGCAGGTATTGTCACCATTTGTTTTTACTCGGCTAGTTCAATATCATTTAAACAGTGGTAGGATTTCTATTAGAATTTTGCAAAGACGCCGGGATGGTTATCTCGGGTGGTGCGAGGCTTTACTGACGTCGATCCTTCAAAGTAATGGTCTAGATTTTGTTAAGATATCGCCCAGCGAAGCGTTAAAACTCAATCTTATTTTTCCAAATGGCACTCTGGTGACAAAGCTACCGATCGATCTGACACCAGAAGAATCGGCACCACCTTTATCCTGGTCGCAAATGAGTCTTTTAGATGTCTGTGTCACGAATGAGAATTTCTTTAAGATTACAAGCAGAGATCGCGACATAACAGGTAAATCTAACATTTCATTAATTTTTTCACTTCTTCCAGCATCATAAATCTTTCTTACTTTGCCTGATCTTTCACGACATGACATATCAAATGCAATACAAAATAATATTAGGTTTGTGACGATATTTTTAAATATACGAAATGTCTTTGTAATTATATAAAATTACGCCGATACATCAAATTCTACATTAATTTGTTTATTAAAAATTCTCTCTAGAATTAAGGAACGAGATCTATAATAGAATGAATCTTTATGAGCAAGATTTCATTAAGTGCGCTGCCACGTTGGGCAGAGTGATTAAACGAAGCATGATAGAAAACGTAATGTTGAATGCGATTCCACTGCACACCATTAAAAGTGAGTATTGTTAATTGCAGCTCTCGGACTATCTTATTATAACTGAATTACATGCTAGCTTAAATGAATCTCACGTAATTCTACAGCCGTTTCCGAAATGATTCGAATACGGATATTAGAATGTGCTTCTCTGCAACGACGAGATTTCCACACTGAGGATCTTATCTTCTGTATACATAAAAAGCGACAAACATTTTCCGATATGCACCACTCATTGTCCTGCAATTGCCATCATTCACGTTAGTTCAATTTCAAAAGCATTAAAATATTTAACAATATATCAAGTAACGCGGTAGCGTCGCAAAGTATAAAAAAAAATAGGTCATATAATACTTAATACTAAAATTATAATTACAATTAAAAATATTAATAAAATTTAATATTTTACAATATTTAATGATATTTAATATTAAATAGACTGATGACATGCGCTTCTCTCTCTCTTTCTCTCTCTCTTATAAAATTCTCATTAATAAAAATTGAAATCTATGAAAAATAAACAATAAAAAAATTGCAATAAAATTGGTACAGTTCTGTAAATTCCTTTTTATCTGGTTTTGTAATTTATAATAAAATAAATAATATCCTGCCATTTTAGGAGCTGTTATTAGCCGTCATTCCTCATCTCTTTATGGTCATTGTAAAATGCTAGAGTTCAAAGTCAATGCATTTCGCAAGATGATAGACAATATACAAACGGATAAAGAAAAACAAGAACATCATACAAGAGCAGCTAGGATATACGAGGTGGACGCTCGAAATTGTCATTCCTGCGGTAGCGGTCGTTTTTTGAGAATTCTCAGCGAAGATATATTCAAAGAATTGAAGGTTGTTTAGAATTAAATGTTGATTAATTTTTTGAACATGTGTTTAGAAAATAGGTTTTTAAAATTCATAGTAAAGTTTACAAACAAAATTAAAAATCAAATTACTTAAAATTACTTCTTAAAAATAAATTTTATTATTAAATTTCCCAATTTATTATTAATTTTTTCTAACTTTGTTGAAAAAATGAATTCGTTTAATATTTTTGTCAGGAAGATATATCACATTTGAAACCCAGAGCTTCGTTGATCCGTCGACGAACATTTATCGAAGGTAAATGGACGATGAAAAAACCGAGAATACATGAACGTTCAGCACGAACAGCCGCTGCGGAGAAACAACCAGATTCTATCGATATTTGTAGAGTATCTATTATGCCGTCAGATATTAATGATGAAGAAGATGAAGGTAATAGTTAACAAATATATATTTACTTTAAAATTTGTTAATTTTAAACTATATATATTTTAAACAATATATATTTTTATAGTAGTTTTGGAAAATGGAGACAATGACAGAATAAATATAACATTTGGAAAGAAATCTACGAGTATTTTTCTAGAAACGACAACAGATCTTTCTCATCCAAGCTTCTTAGTGAAATTTAGCCATATTGATTATCGTAATTGTCAATGCGACAATATTATCAGCCATCTTTTCTGGAAGTTGCATCATCATATTGAAGAAAGTGGTAAACTAATATTAATGTGTTCAAAACAAAATTAAAAAAAAAAGTTATAAAAAAGTGTTAACATAAATAATTAAACTATTTTAAGCACACTTTTGTAATGTACGTAAAGCACTAATAATCACACTAATTATTAGATTCTTTATTAAATTGTATTTTTTAGGAGAAATCGACAAAGTACTCGAGTTTTTTATACAGTACAGCGCCGGAATAATCCAAATTGCTCAACCTCTTTATGCTATTAAGCTGCTCTCGATTGCCGCTAAAAGAAGTAAAGCTGTCGAAGTGGAAGAGTTGATTGATAAGGACACAGAGAACAGTATCACGAATAAAGGAATCATTCTAACTTTAATGGGTCTGTGAAACTTTACGAAATATTCCGTAATAAAATAAAATATCCTTACTCATTAGTCATCATTCCGGGGAAAAATTTTTCTAAAGAGGATGTATCGTTATTTATCGTATATATTAATTACATTCACAGGTGATGCTCACAGTGCATTAGGAAATTATGATCAAGCTAAAAAATACTACCTCTTGGCGGTGAAACTGCGAGGTACTCCGCCTAAGGAGAAAGGCATCTGTTACAATATAATGTTAAAAATGTTTTGTAAACTACAAGATCCTCCTCATTATTATACAGTTGATGAAGAATCAAAGAGACTCGCTGTAAAGAAATTGGAATTGGCATCGTACTTACGACGACTTTGTGCCGGATTCATAGTACGTAGCTAATACAGCTATTTCTTTTTGTGCAAATGGTTTATCCAAATAAGGTGAAACTGAAAATAAAACGATTACAGAGAAGATATACAATATATAATTTTTAAGGATTTTTTTATTATTCTAATAACTTTTTTATAAAAAGCGTAGTAATTTTTTTTATAGGCAGAAAACAAATTGAAAACGGCGCAGTCGTTTGCCTTGAGAAGTTTCAAGCTCGCGTTTCTAAGCGTTAACAGTTTTCTAGAGAAAGGCGAAATATATCTTGCCACAGTACGAGTTTTACATTGCACAAGAAACATTAAATTAATACAACATATCGAAAGACTAATGCTAATCACAATACAGAGAAAAGCTGTCTGGAATGATGCTGAGGAAATATCTATGGTGGCAAATATTTATCTAACGATGTATCAAATTAGGTATAACGTCTTAAATTTGATGCATAAATTAATCCATATGTCTTAAATTAAATTTTTGCGTATGTGAAAATAGGGTATTAAGAGGTAAATTGGAAGAAGCCGTACATATAGGTATAAAAGTCTTAAAAATATCCAAAACGTTGCATTTTAATAAACTGACGCTAATTATTATGCCTTCATTAATTCAGATAATGGTATTGCTTGAAATTAATCTATTCTCATAAATCTCTTGTGTATCTACGTAAATTTCCTAAACAACGCAAAGATCCAAAATTAAAAGAAAATTAAAAGAAATCTTCCGCTGTTTTGACATTTTTGTATGTAGACATCTTTTGGATCTTTTCACGTTATTTAGGATGTATACCATTGTTTACTATACATAATACTTAATAATTTGATTAGTTATGGACCAGACGCGTCAATGTAGCTGTCGATTTGATGCGGGAATTGTATTTTTTGGCAGACGAGGACATGGATTTGTCAGCTAAGACATGGTATTATGCTCTTTCTTTAGATCTCATGTTGGATGCAGGAATAGTATTGGAATCGTACGAGACATCTTATAACTATTATGAGAAATTTATTGGTAATAACTGTAATGCAGTATGTATAGATGCATTAAAATTTATAAATAATTACCTATTTATAATTTTCTATAGAGAATGTCCCGCAATCACTATACAATATTCTAATATATTTAAAAAATTATTTATACGCGTTAAAAACTTGATATAAAAATGTTATAATTTTCAAGTTACGAATAATCAAATTAGTATAATATCGCGCACATTCAGATTACATTTGCGCTTACACATGTATCAATCTGTTATTTAATACTCTTATAACAACTTTTATTTTTAGATTTTCAATTCTCTAATTAATATTTTACATTAAGAATCTGTTTTTAATTAACTTAATTATTAAATTGTATTGTGATTGTGGAACAGCTTGTAAGTATAAACTATCTTTAACACTTTGACTGCTGAACTAATTTTGACATTAATCAAATCTAATATTTATTTTAATATTTTACTGTTTCTTTGGATGTTGAAACATAGTTTACATTATTACTTTGACATGTCTTAAATTCTCAGTAAAATTATTTTTAATTTGGAAAATAAAAACATTATGCATAAATAATAATGAATGATGAAATCTTTGTAAAAATATTGCGAATTTTACACATCAGTCAAATTTAAGTCAGACGGCAGTTAAAATGTTAAAACTATGTGTTATTTTAACTCGAACGAGTCGACTGTACAGCTTACAGATCCAAATTTTGCGTATGGCGTGATCCACAAAGCCTGTTCCGCTTATTGACAGGTCTATGGATGTACCAGCTTAGAATGTAAATATTTATTTTCTATTCGCATTTTACCAGCCATGAATCAAACACTATGTGAAAACGATAAATTAAAATGTTTTTCTTTCTAAAGAAACAAACTCTTACAATTCTTATTACAATTAACAAAAAAATTCATTAAACATTTTCAAGATCCCTATTTTATCTTTTGACATTGTGATTTAAAGTGATTGAATAGATATATTGTTCGATTTTGCTAAAAAATACATTGTGACATAACAGGGGTCAAACGATTTCTAGTGTATTTGCATGCAGCGCGGAAGAATATGTAAAAGACGTCACTTGGCATGACTTTTCTCGAATCCTTACTTGTAGCAAGGTATGCCTAAATTTTCGAACATTCACACTTCATATTCTTCTTCTACACATTTCATTCTTTTTATACACAAATTAAGAGTCTATAATTCTTTTTTCTTTTAATAAAAATTTAATAATTTCTAAAACAAATTATAATTTTATAAATCTATCATAAAAAATCCATTGTTTTTTGCTCTCGGGATTAGTTATCAGATATAGTAATAATAGTAATAACTATTATATAAAATATATGAGAAATAAACAACGAATAGATAAAATAATTGTAAATAAAAGAGGAGATTATAATTAAATACGAAAATAAAAATAAGCTACATTTTTGTTTATTGTTGCAAATAATATGCTCTTCTTATCTAAACAACATGAAAAAAATGAAAAATTTGTTTCAATGCAATGCTTTAATGCATTTTTTAAGGGATACGAGTGTTATTTGTTGTTATTACTGCGCTGCATCAATACGAAGCACTCTGATGAGCTACAAAATATTGTTCAAAATATTTCCAAAATTAGAAAATGCCTCAAGAATATTTCCAAGCATACGACAATTATAAAACCACGTTTTTATTTATTGATGGCATATTTTAATGTTCTTCGGGGCCGCAAATCGAACACATGGATCTATTTGCATAAAGCACAGAAATTCGCGATTGTACAAGGAAACCAATTGATGATGGCATGGATCATACAAAATAGAAGAGTAATAATTTTAATTAAACATAATTGGTTTTTATTAATTGATAGATAAAATAAATTGAACATACCTTTACTTTTCAATTAATTTATCTTTAATGGCAATATTGGCGAATAATAATGATTGATGATAAATATAAGTCTTCTAAGTGGTCTGACAAATTTTTTGTTGCAGACGTGGAGGGAGAAAATTTATAATAATATGGCGCAATATTGGTTGGAGTACATTGGATCGACAGATATCGTGCCTTGGCAGTATATTCGTAATTTTAACATCGATACCTGGTCCACTATCCTTTTTCTTTTACCGGTGCCTGATATACACTTATAACGAACAATGTGAGAAGCATGATCTCTCATCTAGCATATTGTTCTCATATTTATTGCAATCCATGATTATCTTCATAGACACTGGTTAAAAACGGAAAGAAGATGTTCTAGCGAAATATTTATTTATTAAAGGCATATTACATTTTTATGTTCTAGAAGATAAACACGACGATCCCTTCGTGCGCACGATCTTCGTGTCGAGAAAATTTTTTCGGTCCTTTTCTATTTTCCACAAATTGACCTCCGCGCATAATGAATCTCGATCTCGTTGCGAGTTTCGCTTAAATACAAACGTTTCCAGCGACTGACGTTTACACTTACATCTCGACGATTAATTATTACGTATTGCGATTTAATTGCTCTATTTGGCCGAATTTGGCCGAGTACGCCAAGGATGTTTGCGAATTCGAGAAGAAAGAATGTAGAAAATGAAAGAGGAAAAAATAGTAGAAGGAAAAGAGAGAAATTGTGAGAAAGAAAAATGTGGAGAAAACGTGGAAAAGCATAATGAAAAATATATTTAAAAGACAATCCATTAACCGATCTACTTTCTGTTGGTTTTTAAAGAGGTAAAGAAAAAAAAGGATATAAGGTACAAAAGGATACAAAAGATGCTTTAAGTATTGTCCGCGCAATCTTACATACACGATTTCTCTTTTGTTGATATATCACTGATTTAATTTAATCTCGATATTTCATAAATATCGCTTTCTTTCAATTATTTAATTTTCAATATCAACCTACTACCCGACTCGCAATCGCTTATAAAAAAAAATTTGATCAATTTAATCTATATGTATACTTATGTGCTAAATATTTTTTTCTTTCACAAAATAAACTTTAAATTACTACTGATGAATTTCTGTTTAGTTAAAAAATCTGCTCATTGATGAATGTAACAGCATCTTGGTTTGATTAAAGGTCCAGTACGGCTGCGAGCGTGATTTTTATTTAATCCAGCGTGAAAACGGGAACTTTGCGAGATCCTGTTCATTGTCAGCATAAAAACTTGCATCGGCGTACTCGGCCCAAATGTGTCCGTCGGGACACGCGCGTGTAATACTTGAAGTTACCTATCCGAATAGAAGAGTATCTCCCCTCGCGCGCTACCACAATGCTTCCCAAACAATGCGAAAGTCCAAAAGATATTTACATCTAAATATTGATTCTGTCTAAAACGCAGCGTGACCGAAAGATTCGGATGTTTCTCGGATATCTAAGAAATTGAAAACTTCTCTCAGACGTCCAAGAAACTCCCACGTCTGGGAGATTAAGATCTCGTTTCAGCATCTTTTTTAGATATTCGCGTTGTCCGGGTTTGCTACTCGTTCGATGGGACTCTCCCCGATCGCAACGAAGTTTGAATCTTCTCTTCGTGTAACTCATTCGTGGGCGTCGACTTCGTTGTCGATGCGACTGCTACGTATACCGGTCTTGCCTGTCCAAGGATAAATGTCCGGGCATGCTTGGCAGGTCTTCATGTATCTTACTCCACTCTTATGCCAAAGATTGCAGACCTTCGCGTTATTGCATTTCTTAGGTCGGTCCTGCATCATATTCGCCGTAATATAATAGAGTTCTTTTATTACAATAAATTAAAGCTAACTCAAGAATCGTTGTTATTATTGTTATTATTATATTAAAATAGGATTTAAAAAATATTATTAGTTGTAAGAATAATGTTTATGACAATTTTAAAATTAAACTAGCATACAGCGCGCGCTACGCGCGTGCATTTCATGTCTCTTTCATTTATTTTATAAACAGTGATGTAGTCCTAAAAAAAGAGTCAACAATATCTTCGATATATTTCGATCTCAATACATTTCATGGTACACATGTATTTTTTTTTATTAGAGAGAGAAAAGAAAAGAATTTTTAATTACTTTGCAATATTAATTTAGCACGTTTTAATTATTGTCATCGAAATATAAAAAAATTAATATTCCAATTTAAGAAATAATAAAAAATATAAAAACTTTTTAAATAAATTGTTTGTAAAATATAAAAATCTCTAGTGAGCTAAGCATTAAAGAGTTGATTACAAAAAGTCTTACCGGATAATGGCATCCAAAGGGTTCGAACGTATGTAGAAGCGCCAGAGGCGTTGGATTCCTGATCCATTGTATGGCCTGCCAATTAGTAATTACCCATACGTCATCCATCGCAACAATGGTGTCGAGAAATGATATGAAGCCTTCTTTATGATGCGGCTGAGTAAACCATGCGGCATGATAGAACAGACCGAAAGGCGCCCTGCGGAAAGGTGCATCATGTTACGATAATATTAGTATAAAAATAACTTGCAAAATAAAAACATTTATTTTATTTAACTTTCAATTATAATATAAAAGTGAATCTTTTTATTCAAGTAATTATTTTCCGCAATGTCAGAACTTTATTGAATTGTATGAAAAGAAATTAGAAATTGATGTGAAAGAAACAATCTGTTAAGAATACACGGACATTGAACAAAGAAATTTATTTCATGGCTTGTTTCAATTGTTTGTCTAATAATCGCGTATACGAATAGCGTGAATCACTTTACCAACCTATTAGTCGTGTAATGCCTCTCGAAGTTCTTAATGAGCATCTTGTAGACGCCGTCCGGAGTCGGTGGGTTACTACAAGCATCTCCCATGGAGCACCTACCTCCATTGAGATCTTGCCACATTACCATAGGAACTTCCCACAATCCTGGATAGGATCTCGTGGGACAGGGTGGTATCATGCAGTCGTGGAAGAGCTTGTAATCCAGCGTGTACGGCCAACTGGGCGGTCGGTTCTCATAGATAGGCATGGAGGAGTCGTACGTGAAGTTTGTGTCCCAGAGCATTTTGAACATATTGTTTCCCCCGACCTGCGTCACAAATAGCGTACAGCAGAGTTACACAGCTGCAACTTGCTCTCTTGAACGGCGAAGAAATCTTCTACGATCTTACAGAGTTTATGTCGAAAAGAATCATTCTAAGATCGTTATCACGTATATTTTACGTAATATTTTTTTACGAGAATAAAGAATGAATAAATACTACAAGATAATTACCGATAAGAAGGGTGCCCTCATTCCTCTAACATCCTCCAGTTTGACGCCTCCGTATGCAGACAAAATTTCGCGCTGCCCAGCAACTTCTCGCGCCCACTTTCGCGCCGAAAACTGTTCGCCGAAACTGTGCCTATTGCAAAGATTTATCGTCGTGACGATCGCTTGCGAATTACGAAGAGTTAAATTCTCTCACGACGCACCGATCCATGGCTGACAACACGTCGGAAACGCTTTTCTTTCTTTTCATTTTTTTTTTCCATTTTGATTACATAAGCATGTCTTTCATTCGAACGTTCGGCTTTTGCAAAATGACGATATCGACAGCTGACGCATAAAAGATGGAGATGATTTTGCAAGAACCGAACGAGCGTGGTTGTTATGTCATTATGTTACGTGCATTATGTGCCTTTTATATTTACGTATCTTTTATAAACTTAGTGTAAAAGAGAAAAAAATAATGAAATTAAATACAAGAATTTTCGAACGTGTGTCAAGCGTCATATCAATCATTCAACATTCAAAGCAGAAGCGATTTGTTGACTGATCCAATAAGCACGAATATGACTCATTAACTTCTTCATTAGGAAAATAAGCTAGTGTTAGTGTCTTTATCGAATTATGTAAAAAAAGTGATAACTACTCAACGCCTTTAAGGCGATTGTAATTAATTTGCATCTATTTGCGTGATATTAGTTGACAATATGAATGATTGTTGAATAAGCATGATTACTCGAAGTCGAAATGCGCTTGATTTCACAAATAAGAACAATTAAAATCTCAGAAATTAACTATTACTATTAACTTTATACATCTTTACGTATTTATTAAATATTATTGTTAATATCACTAACATAAATTATAACACATAAATGTGATGGAAGAAACAATTAATAGATAACTGTAATTATCACACAATTGTGAATGCTAATTTATACGTATTTTTTTACGTAAATGTGTTACATGAAAACATATAATTACGATAAATAAATACCAACTGCGAAAGATTTAAAAAATCCCGTACAAAAATATACGAACAGTATTAACAACCACGAGATTATATAATTTATCTAAGCGTTTAATTATAAATAAAAATAAAACCCGTGTGCTACTTCGCCTGCCCGGCGGCGAACACTGTTCGCAGATCTTAACGACGATTCGATTACTTACGAGACCGTGTGGGAGGCAATCTCGTGGCCCGAGGCATAGAGATTTTGAACCTGGCTGTAGTCGGTCCATTCGTGGGACACGTAGAAGGTGGCCGAGATGGGACAGCCGTTGGGGTTCTTTCGTCCCTTCTCGAACAGATCGGAGTAAAGACCCTTGTTCAAGTCGTTCACGGAATCGTCGAATGTCAGGAGGACGATTTGCGGTATTTCCTCCGGTAGGTATTCACCTGTTCGTTACAGGATCGCGTTCAGGATTCAAAAAAGGAAGGAGCGAGAGAGGGATAAGACGGACACGAGAGAATCGGGACACGCGTTCGAGACCGTGTTGAAATGTGTGTCATAGATGTTTTTTTTTTATGGATATGAGTATCGATGTGATAAGTTTTTTTGAGTGTTTTTTTTTAATGCAACATATATGTGTGTGAAGATGTTAGAGTGGCGCGTGATGGGAATGAGGAGCATGGCGAGGCGTGAAATGAAAGAGAAAGAGAGAGCGAGAAAGAAAGAAAGAACACAAGAGAAGGCGTTAGTATATGCATCATTAGTATACACGACACAGGTGTGTCGTACGCGCCCGGTGAAACCGCGGTTTACGGCGTGTTGCTATCGGACCCCGCGATCCCTCATTTGAGAGATCGTCAATCTCCTATTTGATGAAGGTACACTTGCGGTTTCACCGGTTGCACGCAGCAATATGCGTTTTCATCGTCCCCACGGAGGATCCTCTAATTGCACGATGCCACTTTCAAAGAGGCTTTCTTAAATAGTAGGCAGAAATTCGCGAGCGTATTTCGCGAACGATTTACGGCTAAGAAGTACTCGGAGATACAAAGATTCATTGAACTGAACACTTCAAGGTTTTAAAGAAATGAAAAATCTTTCCTTCCTCTCTAACAGTAGTTTAAGTATTTAATTAAGAGCTCATTCCACAGAGCGTCAGATTTCAGAATTTAAAAATTCAAGGATAACCAGGAGAGATTTCTCAAGATGTGTGTCTCCAATAATCGAGAAATTCGAAGGACTTGACGTTCAAGATTAGATATTCCATGAATTCGACAAAACTCGAATAATCTAGTTGTACAATCCAATCGAATTAAAGGACCCTTCGCGGTAAATCCTTCCCCGATTCAACGCCCGCTTGGAGCATTCTCGAAGAAGAGGTAGACGATAAGTAGAAATCAGTACGTTAATTGTATACATGTGGTCAACGGAGAACAGACGTTCGATGCGAGCCTCGC